GTGGTGGCTTCTCCTGTTGTGGAGCACGGGCTCTAGGCACGTGGGCTTCAGTAGTTGCGGCACACAGTCTCAGTAGTTGTGGCTCATGGGCTCTAGAGCACAGGCTCAGCAGTTGTGGCACACAGGCTTAGTTGCTCCACTGTACGTGGGAACTTCCCAGACCAGGGCTCACACCCGTGTCCCCTGCGTTGGCAGGCGGATTCTTCACCAGTGCACCACCAGGGAAGTCCCAAAGTTCACTAATTCTTTCTTCTGCTTGGTCCAGTCTAATATTGAATCTCTCCACTGAATTCTTCAGTTCAGTCATTGTATTCTTCAGCTCCAAAATTCATTTGGTTCTCTTTTATGTTTTCTATCTTTTTGTTGAACTTCTCATTTTGGTCTTGTATTATTTACCTGATTTTATTGAACTGTTTACTGGTGTTCTCTTGTAGCTCTCTGAGCATCTTTAAAATAACTACTTTGAATTCTCTGTCAGGCAATTTGTATATCTCCATTTCTTTAGGGTCAGTTACTGAAAATTTACTGTGTTCTTTGGTGGTGTCATGTTTCCCTGATTTTTTGTGATCCCTGTAGCCTTTCACTGTTGTCTGCACATTGGAAGAGCCATTATCTCTTCAAGACTATGGACTGACTTTGGTAAGGAAAGACCTTCACCTATGGATATGAGAATGCTAGAGTATGCTATGACTCTGGGTCTAATGGTGCAGGGTGCCCAGGTTAGGGCATATCGTAGCTCTGGGCTCAGGGTGCAGGTCTCATTGGCTGAGGCCACACAGGTCCACATATCAACAATTCTGGGATCCTTAGGGCAAGTTGTGGAGGGTCCACAGTGGCTGCAAGGGATGTTGGGGTCCTCGGTGGCTCTTCCAGGTCCAGTGGCTAGGGACCAGGGCAGGCAGCAGTGGTGGGCAGAGTCAGAAGTGTGTACACACATGGCTTCAGGGTCCAGCTTCAGGTACCTGCATAGTGAGAGGGGGAAGCTGCAGACACACAGATAATAGCAAGGGCTGGTGCCAACTGCAGATTGACGAGCAACTACAGGGACCCTAGCTGTTGGCACATATTCATGAGGCTGTAGAGGCTAGCCATGAGCATATGCATGGCAGTGGAGGCAGGGATGGGAGTTGGGCTGGCAGTGTGCAGGGGCACAGCTGCAGGGGCTACCTTTAGGTGAACCTAGGGTTGCAGTTCAGTGACAAGTCAAGGCTGGATATGGGCCACAAGCAGCTGTGGGGGCCTTGGCTGTTGGCATACACTCCTGTGGCTACAGAGGCTTGCCATGGTTGTATGCATGGCAGTGGAGGCCTGTGTTGGGAGTCAGGCTGGTGGCGTGCAGGTACACAGCTGCAGAGGTTAGACATGAGCACACACAAAGCAGTGGGGTTCAGCTTTAGGGGTCTAGACTGGTGTCTTACATGCACACAACCACAGAGGCCAGGGCTGCTATATAACTCATGCTCTGTCAAGAGATGCGGAGGGAGCTGGGGGACTCAGGTGGCTGGCATCTGTGATTGCAGATACCTGTGGGGTGAAAACCTTAATGGCAAAATCTGCAGGGGTTCTGTGGTGGCTACTGGTTTCTTCAGTGGTGAAATATGCTGGGGTCCTCTGTGGAGCATCTGCTGGGGTCCATTATGAGGTCCCCAGTAATAAAAGCTGAGGGGTTCTGCAGTGTCCACAAGGGTTGTTGAGGTCCACAGCAGCAAAGGCAGCGGGGATCCTAAGCAGAGCAGGCCACTGTGAGCCATGGTTGCTCCCAATGCATGACTGATACTGGCAGCCTCTGTCTGCCCTACTTCCTTGTTCCTAGCCATGTCTAGATGTCTCAGTATTTATACCAAGTTTATTCTACTTATCTCATTTGTAATTTTCTAGAGCTCCTTGGGTTGCTTCTTAGATTGCTCCACTCTGCTTCCTGGCTGCTTCCTTCCTTTGCAGACAGCAATCACCATTTTCTTCCACTGAGTTGTCAGTTTTTTCCAAGTTTCTTTCATAAGTATTTCTTTTGGTCTTTAACTTTCATGTGGGAGGTTTCTTCCAATGGTTGTTGATGCTTGGCTGTCTGGAATTGCTGTATAGGACCTGCTGACCACTGGGGTTTCACTGTATGGAGGTTTGTGGAAAGCAGTGGTCATCTTATCCAACAGCTTTTAATACCATATATACTCTGATGACTCCAAAATTGTTATATCTTAACTTCACTTCTGAACTCCAGACTTTCAACATCTCAGTGTGGAGGTCTAGAACACATTTAAACCTTGAAAGGAAAAACCAGAAATATTGATCCCCACTGCTCTACTCTCTTCTCCCACAATGTTTCCTATTCCATTTCCACCCAGGTCAAAGTTGGGCAGGTCAAAACATAGGAGTCATTCTTCTCTGACCTTTCTCTTTTTTGTACACACACACACCTATTCAATCTATCAACAACTCTGACTGGATCTATCCTTCAACACATATTCAGAATCCAACAACTTACCACTTCCACTGTTCCAACCCTATCTAGCTCAAGATACTGAAATCAAAATCTTTTGTTTGAATGACTGCTCCCTGTTTGCATTCTTGCTCTACTCCAGTCCTTCTGCACACATCAGCTGGAGGAATCCTTTTAAAATGTACGCCAAATCATGTAATTCCCCTGCTCAAATACCTTCACAGGCCTTCTGTCACACTTAGAATAAAATGCAAAATCCTTACCAAAAATATCATCCTCCAAGCCACCATTCTGAGCGGAGTTCTTAGCTTCAAACTGTCATTCTTCCTTCACTTTCCACATCTAATTGATCATCAAAATTCATCATTTTTACTTATTAACATCTACATTCTCTATTGCATTTTTTCTCCATTCCTATTGTTGCCTAGCCATTATTTCTTGCCTGAATCACTTCCGTGGTCTCTTTCCTCCCTGATTCCAGTCTTCTGCATTTTATACTCTCTCAGCATTTAAAACCCACATCCAATCATGTCACTCCATGGTTCTATCAGACTAGCAGTTCTACTAATTTGGGGATAACAAAGCTCTTTGTGATCTGGCTCTTGCCTCCTTCTTGGCCTTATCTCCCAATTGCTAACACATACTTACATGCCAAAGTTACCAAATATCTTATAGTTTCCTGGAATTACTACTTCCCTATGCTCTGTGCCATTTTTGGAATGTCTTTCCTTATGGCTTGTCTTCCTGATGAAGCCCTGTGCATCTCTCAAGACTCACCTTAAGCATTACTTGCCTCTGGAGGCTTTCATTGATTTCTCAAAGCCCCAGGAAATCAGCTACTCCCTCTAACAGCATCAGTGTATATCTTAATTATGACATGCAGCTCATAAACCTTCTTGTTTGTGGTCTATTTGATCCCACTAGAGTAGTTTCTAAACATGGAGACCATGCATGGGGTTCAGAAGCAACTATCAATTCCCTAAAATTGAGTATAAAATTTTGTATGCAAAATGATACTTGTATCGTATCTGGGGAGAAATTTTATCGATCCTCCATAATCTAGAAAGAGTTAGGAACCAATACCCTAGATGGTGATATTCTTTTTTTTTTTTTTTTTTTAATTTTTATTTTTGGCTGCGTTGGGTCTTCGTTGCTGTGTGCGGGCTTTCTCTGGTTGCGGCGAGTGGGGGCTACTCTTCATTGTGGTGTGCAGGCTTCTCATTGTGGTGGCTTCTCTTGTTGTGGAGCACAGGCTCTAGGTGCGCGGGCTTCAGTAGTTGTGGCACGCAGGCTCAGTAGTTGTGGCTCACGGGCTCTAGAGCGCAGGCTCAGTAGTTGTGGCACACAGGCTTAGTTGCTCTGCAGCATGTGGGATCTTCCCGGACCAGGGCTCAAACCCTTGTCCCCTGCATTGGCAGGCAGATTCTTAACCACTGCGCCATAGATGGTGATATTCTTAAGGGAAGGAGTAAGTCTCCATCTTTAATTTCTATATCTCACACATATCACTTCACACAGAGCATAGTTAAGGCAACTGAACACAAATGCTTTTGTATACTTGTAAATATACATAAGCAAATATACAGAAGCAATTGATATGTTATTTGTATATTATTTAGGCAAATTTCCTATGGTTCTTGACCAGGCAACATACTTTGCATCCTCTATGTTTCCTAAAAATATTGTATTTTCTTAAAGAGAAATTTGTAATTCTTTCTAAAACTTGTAATTCTCACCAATATACACTCCTGGAATATATACTCCTCAAAGTAAGGTTTTACCCAGTCCTTTAGTCTAAGCTTAATAGTCACCTAAGGTTTCTGATGTTTATTTGTTTTACTTTAAAATTCTGTACCTTTTAGTTACTTCTTCTTATTCAGCCTGCAAAATGTAATCTTGGTTATCAGTCAACTCAATACGCTTTTATAATAACCAATAGACAGTTAAGGATTTATCTTAGAAATACTGGTACACTGATAAACAACAAGGCCTTACTGTATAACACAGGGAACTATATTCAATATCTTGTAATAAACTCTCATGGAAAAGAATCTGAAAAAGAATACACACACACTCACACTCACACACACACACACACAACTGAATCACTTTGCTATACACCAGAAACTAACACAACATTGTAAATCAACTATAGTTCAATAAAAAAAAGTTTTAAGAAAGAAATGCTCGTACATTATTTCCAGGGTTAATCATTACATTAATTAATAACTGGCTCTTTTCAGCTTCAACTACCTTCTTTTCTTAAGAGGTGGAGAGAGACAAAATTTTAGTAACTGCTGCAGGTTGAAGGAGCTCTGTTCACCAGCAAAACCAACTGAGAAATGACTGCTAGACATTACAGTAGGCCCAACAGCCCTACATAGTAATTCCATTTAGAGAGCAAGTGTGATAGGTACTGTCCAGATAAGGAAGAGCCCTTAAATACATTGAAACAAAGACAAAGGAATGATTTTAGCAATATTGTTTCATAATGTAATTAGGGATAGTAAGAGAGAAAAACTTAAGTGTGCAGGAGCAAGCTACACTGTGTAATATTTCTTACCATTTTATAGAGATCTGAGACACTAATCTGGTCCGCATCCACTACTTCAAAGTCCTTTCGAGGCACCAGGTCCAGGCCCAAATGCCTAGTAAAGAGAAAGACCACATTCAGCATGCCATGTCCTCAAATTACTCATCTCTTTATGTGCCTGGGAGCCCATGCCAACCATGACCTTATGGACAGAAGTTCAGACACTGCCTCTGCAGGGACATGCCTTTATCCAGTAACCTAACTGTGTTCACCTTCAGGTAAATAAATGAGGCTAGGAATTTTAAGACTGTGACAATTTTCATCATCAAGTAGCTCCCCCTGTGATGGTAAAAAGGATTCATTCAGTATCACATTTATAACAGATTGCTTGAGTTCACTAAGGATGGATTTTCTTAGATCATTAATAAGTTGTGTTTATTTTTCGATTTCCCCCATCCTGCAAGTATGTACAGGCTCAGCCATGCATTACTTTCATTAGGATAAAAAGAATTATTCAGTGTCCAAGTAGACTTGTAATTCAAAGTCAAACACATAAAAATCACCTCCTGGGAATTCCAGGAGGTCCACTGGTTAGGATTCTGCACTTTTACTGCCACGGGCATGGGTTCAATCCGTGGCTGGGAAACTAAGATACTACAAGGCACAGCCAAAAAAAAAAAAAAAAAAAAAATCACCTCCTAAAGGTATTAAACTCAAAGAAACTTATGTTTTGGTTGAGTTTTATCTCATTTTCAATTTAATTAATACTGACACTGGGTTATAGTAAAGACCTCACCACACATTAGCCAATACCTTAAGACACTTTAGATGGAAGTTTAACCAGGGAGCACGATTAATAAAGAAAACAATACTTAGAAGATCTGGTATAACTTGGGCATGAAGGAATAAGTGATAATGATTAATAGTTGATTGGGAGGCAGTATGAGACAGTGGAAATAACTCTGGACAGGCAGAACTCTTGGGTTCAAATATGGTACATAATTTATATTCAATACATGTTACGCCCTTTCTCACTCTCTAGAACAACAGCTCTGAATCTGGAGTCAGTGGAATTAGGGGTTGTGGACCCCTGTAACTACATATAAAAGTATGTGCATGTGTTCATATATGCATTTTCTCTGAGGAGAGGGCCTATAACTCTCATCAGGGTTTCAGAACTGCTCTGTGACCACCCTACTCTAAAACGAGTGTTATGAATTATTGCACCTGGCAAAAAGTATGCCATAGATGATGGAAGGAGAAGTGTATATATTTTTTTCTTCACCTAGATTATGAACTACATTTAGAATATGCTACCAAAACTAATTCTCTAGGCTCTTTCTGTGCATAAAACTCCCACTTATTTAAAATAAGCCACGTAGGGCTTCCCTGGTAATGCAGTGGTTGAGTCCGCCTGCTAATGCAGGGGACACGGGTTCGTGCCCTGGTCCGGGAAGATCCCACATGCCGCGGAGCGGCTGGGCCCGTGAGCCATGGCTGCTGAGCCTGCGCGTCCGGAGCCTGTGCTCCGCAACGGGAGAGGCCACAACAGTGAGAGGCCCACTTACCGCAAAAATAAAAAAAAAAAAGCCACGCATACATCCAAAATGCAGAATTCTTTTACTTACAATTTAACCCTATTTTATAGGAAAAGATATGAAGAGGTTAAATGGTAATAAGACTGATAAAATAAAAATGGGGTATCAAACCTACATGAAGAAGCTATAAGCGAACACACTAATTACACAGACTAATATGATTACTATGATTAAGAATTAAAATTTAGATGTGTACTTTTTAGCAGGCAAAAAAAAAGGAGAAACCTATTTTTGTATTAAAGGATAAAAACCCATGTTTTTCTATTACCTATTACTATAACTTGTATTATTCTATAATAGAGAAATATGAGTTTTTAAAGAGGAAATAATTTTTTGGTATTAAATAGAGGAAAAAAAAAACCCTCGTAGTTTTGCATGATGAGAAGATCAGTAATACACTGTTGTCCTTAACTACAATAGTTCACAGTTTAATGGTAAAACCATGCCATCAAATCTGATTACTGATGTTAATGCACTTAAATCTATAAGAGATTTTATTTCCTGTCTTCATACATCAAAGAAGTACTCCATTCAATCACCTCTTATTAATTATTCTTAATTTCCCTGAAATAATTTCAGGCCTCTGGCTTCTAATACTTATAGCATGTAAAGGCAGCAGTATCATGGAGAGCAAGATATAGCTGAAGCACATCCTTTCCACCTCTCTCATCTTAAAAAGCAATTTACATCTGAAAGATAATTTTGCAGTTCTGATCTCAAATATTTAGAATACTTTTACATGTATGTGGAAAAACAGTGGAAAGATCACAAAAATGGTATTAGTATTTGTATAAGTAAAGTGAAATTAAACAATTTATCACTTTAAGATATTTTACAAATTTTCTGTAGTCATGCTGTTGAAAATTCTTTAAATACAAAAATGAGATAAAATTTCAAACACATTCTTTAACCAATGATGGTCACAAAATATATGAGGTAGTCTAAATATTACAATTAATTAACAAAAAGACGACTGTACAAATAATCCAATCAAAATAGATGTTTTCAGTACAACAGCTTAAGAAAAAATCCAGATGGATCTAAGTCAGTAAGGCCAGGGTTGAGAGTATATGCTCTGTAGTAGTGCACTACACGCAATGATGTGGCTTGTCTGGAGAATGGCATCTATGCAAACTCTACCTTGGCACTATGCCACCCTTAGCTTGCTTGTCCATTCAATTATCCACCCATATACCCATCCACTCACCCCAAAGACACTCTCTGAGGATCTACCAGGTACCACCAATGGTACTGGATATAGGAAATAGAGCAGTTTAGAGTCAAGCAAATGTTCATATTCCTCATGCTAATTCTCCCAAGAGCAAAGTGTTTTCCCTCTCCTAGAAGTTGTTAGAACACAGTACCTTTTAGTTTCTTGATTTCGTTACCTTAGGAAATAAGAAAATGATTAACAGGTGATCTAATAAAACCGAAGACTGATTTCCTCCTACTAAGATCATCTTCAATGGAGGAAGAGTAGTTTCCAAAAGCTAAATTGAAGGACTGCCCTCATTGAAAGAAGGCAGAGGTGCTGCACAGTGAGAAACAACACATGTTCACTAAAATTTCACTCTGTAAAAGAGGTTCCCGGCTATTTCTTCCTATGGCATATTCTAAGAACAGTGAACAGTAAGTGCAGGGAATGGTCAACTTAGTCTCTTTATCGTCACAGCAAAGGAAGGCAATGCATCAGAGTAGTTAGGAGCATGGGCTCTGATGTCAGATTGCCTAGTTTGTATCTTGGCTCTCCCACCAAGCAATACTGTCTTCTCTAATGTCACAGGCTATTGTAAGGATTAATCCATGTAAAGCACTCAGTACACCGCCAGGCATTGTGAACTGCTTCTGCTGTTATAATTATGTGTTACATCGTTAGCTAAAATATGACTAAAGTACAAGGATTGTGATTAAAGAGAATTGTGTCTGAAAAAAGACTCCAAAACAAGCAGGAGGCATACAACTACATATATATCTACATACAGATGTAGTATAGAGCTGAGTTTCTAAAATGGTCTTACCAACTGCTTAGGTGAAGTCTTCACAAAAATAGTCTTCTCTCACCACTTGTCACTAATCACTCATTCATTCATTCCAATAATTCAATAAATATTAGCACCTACTCTATGCTAGGCTCATGATGAACTTAGGGACACAGCAGTGAATAAAAGACATATTTCTGTTCCTGCATTCTTTTAGGTGCACCACTCTAAAGACCGTGAATCTCTCTCTATCAAATTCTTTGAATTTTACACGTCTTTTGAATGTTCCATATTCTATTCTATTTTCTATTGTATCTTTTTCTTCTGGGTTTCTTCATCTGAACCACAGAACGTAGAAAATAAGTTGAAGTTAATTAATTATATATGATGGATGTTTTAAGGCATTTAAGATCTAGTTCTCCCCCAGAATCAGTTGAAAAAGGCTAGAGATACTAAGATTTTCTGTGGGCAGTGCCCTTTTCTAATACTTATACTATGAGAGCATATAGATATAACTATACTAATGAAAGCATGGTATATTTATATAGTAATAAAATAGAAGATATAATAATAGCTACCTTTTACTGAACCTTTACTTGGAATAGGCATTTTATGTATATCCCCTCTAAGCACTATGGGAAGTACACAGTATTAGACGCATTTTATAATTGAGGAAACTGAAGCCCAGAGAGGTTACTAAGTAGCCTATTAAGGGAGTACAGTTGAGCTTGTCTCAAGCTAGGTCTGTCTTACTCTGAACCCATGATATTTCCACTATACCTGCCACCTTTCTACTAATAACCATGAAGTTAAATACTAATGGCTATAAGTGACTGTAAACAACTTGGTCATAATAGTTTGAGGAATAATTTTGTGTCAATACATCAATCCAGAGGGAAACAAACATAGACTGATGAATGAGTAGCCAACAGGCATAAGAAAAACCCACCTTGTTACTTAGATACATTCATGTAGTGCCTATTAAGTGCAGGCACTGTGCTAAGTGCAGGGTATGCTGATGAGCAAAACAGATGCACAAAGAATGAGTGTGCGTTTGTAAGTTAATCATTTGAACATGGTAACTTGAGAGAAGAATTCTGACACATGCATAGCTTAAACATAGTTATCTCAGACTTCTTAAGTATGGCAAGAAACTGATTGATGGGTACAACACCTTATATCAGAAGAACTCTAAGAAGGCATTGGAAGCTTCTGCTAATTTCAGATGTCCTGAAGCTGGAAAATATCACTATGTCCTTAAAGAGAAAGTACTGAACCATAAACTTTTCTGAGTCCTAGCTAAAAATTTACTCACAGGAAACTCATTGGGGTTGGGGGCGGGGGTGGTGGTGGTGGGGGCAGTATTCTCTGCATCGTATAACTCAAACTACTGCTTGTGTTGCTTCCTCCAAGAGCAATTCCCTTGGTAAGGAACATAAACTAAGCAGGAAGAAAGGGACATGGGTAGGTTAGGATCTTTGAAAACCTGAGAGAAGGTACAAAAGAGAAGCGAGGGAGGGGAATAATTTGATAGTGAGAGAAAGAATAACTAGAAAGTATACATTTATTGGTGATTTGTCTTAAATGATGAGACTTCACAATAAAAAGATACCAATTTTTTCATTTGATACTTGAATCTATAGAAACATTATTCTAATTCAACAAAAGCTTATAAAATGTTTACATTTTAACCAAATTGTACTTTATACCTAAAGAAGAAATACAAAAATCCTATAAATTATTCTAAGAGTAAAGTATTTCTTACTTAGGTATTTTTCTATGGAAAAGATCAATTAGGCTGTGTCAGTCCTGGGTTGACGCAACTTTTAACTTATCTATGCTATATTTACTGTAGTGATGATAGCAGAGACTGAGAAGAAACTTTTCTCTATATCTTTATGGAAAGTGTCAAAAATGTTAAATTAACACATTAAAGTTACATTGCTAGACAAATTATTTTAAATTTCCCTTGGAGAGGATGCAATTAACTGACTTAATCTTTGAATAGGAGACTTGAGCAGAGATAATGGCTAGTTAATTTGAATACAACCTTGTTTTATGCCCTTCCTGTATTTTAGAACACAATATTATAAATGCTGATTTCTACCTAATACAATTTTAATAATTTTCACATATGGAATGAGCGTGCACATAGGCAAAGAGGCCAACAAGTATAAGCCATGTAAATTTAATGTCAGAATCCTCAAATTTTCAGCCAAAAAAATAAAAATTCCTAATCTCAGGAAAAAAAATTAAAATAGTTGTTATATAGATGTGGAGGGCTCTGCATTTAACTTAAACTCTAAATACAAGAGTATAGTACCAGTTTAGTTTTTATCCTTGAAGGTTCTAACTCATTGTTAAAGCAGATATATATATTATGAGACATGTGGTATAGATAACAGAACAAAGATCAAATAACCCACAGACTACAGATACTGACAATAATTTTCCTGGTTTTAAGACTCACACTTAAAAATGATCATAAAGATAGTAAGGTCCTACATAAACTATATGTGCTTTGGCATCAGTTCTGGGTACAAACACCAGTTCTACCACTCACTATGCAACATTGGAAAAAGTTCTTCTGAGCCTTTTTATGAGTTTCCTCATTAGGTAAAACGGAGCTCTTGTCTTGGAAGAGCATAATCGCATTTCATTATAACAGTGCAGATAAGTTAGACCATGCACTTGCCACAGTGATACAGGTAGATGTACTCAATAAACTATTAATAGCTGTTATTAACAGTGTCTGAAATAGGTTTTGAAAAGGTAGAGCTATAAAGTCTAAGAGTCTAAAGAAAAAGGCATAAAGTTTAAAATTACATAGGATTAATATTTAATTATATCAATTACAACATAAAAATACATTCAGAAAATACTGATTGTGCACCCAAAACATGCCAGCATATGCTAAGCTTATCAATATTTTATGGCATTTATAAAAGTGTCGTGGAACAGGAAGAGTGGAATTATGAGGGCATACAATGGGAAGAATGGATATGGTTATCAGTGCTCAGCTGTTGCATGGAGCACTCTCCTATATCTAACCTATTGGTACGAAATGACTTTATTTTTGCAGTACACCATCACTTCTTTCAAATTAAGAAGGAACGTTTTTAAAAGGGTTACTTCGAGTGAGAACCAGAGATAATTGTCCTATTGGTTTGGGAGGCAATACAACTTTTTCCTTTAGTAATAATAGACCTACAAAGTTCTCATTTAAGTTTTTAAGGGACTGTATTTTCCACTGGGGGTAAAGGGGAAAATGGAAAGAAGAAGAAATGGGGAAAGAAAGAAGTGGAAGGGAAGGGAGAAAGGAGAGAGGAAGATACAGAAGCACCAGGAGAGAAGGATCAGGGTTTCGAGAAAGGAGGGAGAAGGGAAAAAAGTGGGGTGGGGTTGGAAATGGAACTATGTTTCTGGTTTATACTGTTTATCAAAATGAACATATAAATACTCTCCCTACACACACACAAGCACATACACACTTTGTTGAGAAAACGTTATTAATGAAGGTGGAACAGCTCTGTACTTTACTGACAGGTATTTATAATGTTCTTTGCCTTTTTCAAATATAATTTGAACTTTTTTCCAAGCTATCATCTTTAAGTTTTCAGATTTGACTGCAAAATCTGATTGGTCTGTTTTCTAACTTTTATCATAAAGAGGTATTGATATTTCTAAAATATTTCTCTTGTTCATTTACTGGTATGTATAGTGCAGTTAAACTGCAACATAATGATTTATGCCACTATTAGTGTCATCAGTTCAAGAGTAACAATTTGCTTAGCACATAGTGATGCTATGTTTGCAAATTACTACCATTATTGATTTTTTAAAATAAGTACAATGATACCATACAGTACTGTTTGGAGCTGAGGAGACAGGATCAGTAGCTATACTGTAAGTTAACATACTACATTTTGCTAAGATTTTTACTGCCCAAAGTTAGATTTAAAGAACACTGCCTGATCTATCATACATCTGAATTCATGTTATATCATACAAAGAGTCTGTGGTGTGTGCCAAGCAATCCTATTAACAGTCAAGAGAGGTTGTAATTTAATGAAACAAACAAGGATAGGATGGTGTCACAAATTACTAATGTAGAGTTGTTCTTTTTTCTTTTCTACTGAACAGTACCACTCTGGGTTGGATTCACTGTTTATTAGATCCCGTGTTTCCTCTTTCCTGATTTACTCTTCTATTTCTGGAAGAACACATTCTCAAGTCTCTTCTTAAGAAAGGAGCCATGACAGGTTAACTTCTGCATCCCTGAATACTTTAAAAGGGCTTTATTTGGCCCTTACACTTGATTATATAGTTTGGTTGTTTATAAAATTCTGGGTGGCAAATCATTTCCCAACAGAAATTTGAAGATATTACTTCATTATATTCTAGCATCCAGTGTTACTGATAAAACTTTTGAGGCTGGTGTGAATCTTATTCTTTTATAAGGAGACCTGTTTTTCTGTCTGATAACCTTTTAGGATCTTCTCTTCAGTCCCAAATATTGAAATACCTCAGTGTGCCTCACTGTAAGTTTTGGTTTTTCTTCTCCATTCATTATACTAGGTATTTGATGGACTCTTCCAATCTTAAGTCACCTGCTCTTTGGCTCTAGGAAATTCTCTTCTATCATTTCTTTAGAATTTCTTCTTTATTGCCTTTGTTCTTTTCCTGGAAATATAATGTCTGATGTTGGATCCCCTAGATTGAATCTCTGTACTGTTGTTTTTTCCTCAATCATTTCCCATCTTTTTGTTTTATTTTCCTAGAGATGACATAAAATTATCTTCCTGTTCTCCGCCTAAATTCTTTTTTGAAATCCTATTCTCCATTCCTTTTTCGTAGCATTTTATAATGCATAATGAATCTTCTTGATTCTCCTGGAGGATACTCAGAGATTTTTAAAGTTCTTTACTAATCTTCACTCTCTCTAGGGCCAGGTATTTTGTTTATCCTGGTCTCCCTCTCTTCCCTGTGAAAGGATTTCTTCAAATACCTGGTAATACTTGATTGTCCATTCAAATTTAAAAGGCACTAGAAATGTGAAGAGTTTTTTGTACATGGGTGGGTGGCTAGCAAGCTTCTCTTTCTGGAAAGTGGAAGGGATTTGTTCATTACACTTTGAAACCCTTAAATGCCTCAATATGGAGGGCTTTGCAAAAAAGTCCCAGTTCAAACTTTTGTTGCCCAGTTTCCGCCTAGGCAATTGGTCTTTGTCTATCTGAAAGGGAAACACCTGGCTGCCAGGTTTGCTACTCATGGTAGCAAAAGTAGTGAATTATTACTTTACATACTTTTAAGCACTTCCTTTTGTTAAGCTCCAGGGCACACTCCCTTTCTTCCATGATTCTAGCAGCTGCAAGGCAGACCAACTCCTTCATTAGCTAAAGTTTCCTCCATACATTACAGGCTTCTTCTTCTGTTACTAATCCTCCATCTACTTTTCAGCTTCTGGAAATGGGTTCACATATCCCATTTATTGCTGCACTCCTCCCACTCTTTTTATTTTTTATCATTTCAACGATGTCTTGAGGGGGAGAGGAGCTAAAGACTTGTTCTAAAATATACTTAAGGTAAACGTATATCTTAAATAGAAGCAACCTAGTCACTTCAAAGTTCAGTGGACCTGATTTTAAGAGAATGAGGCAAAAGCATTTGAGAATTATATCAATTATTAAATCTAGGAAGAAATAAAATCTGAGTACTATCTACTCCAGCTTCCCATGCCAAAGTCTTATAATTTTACTTGTATGGCAATAGTAAATAGTCATACCCACATAGTCCTGCATAACTACAGGACTATTTCTGAATGATGAATTAGCTAAGAATATTCTGATGTACAGATGTAGACAGTTCCCATTTGTAGTATATACTTATTCGGATTCATTATATGGCTATAAAGTGTAAAGGACACCAAATTCAAAGGTACTAAGAGATGAAACTAAAGAGTATTCTGGGGCTTCCCTGGTGGTGCAGTGGTTGAGAGTCCGCCTGCCGATGCAGGGGACATGGGTTTGTGCCCCGGTCCAGGAAGATCCCACATGCTGCGGAGCGGCTGGGCCCATGAGCCGTGGCCGCTTAGCCTGCGCGTCCGGAGCCTGTGCTCCGCAGCGGGAGAGGCCACAACAGTGAGAGGCCCGCGTACCACAAAAAAAAAAAAAAAAAAAAAAAAAAGAGTATTCTGATTACTGAGGTTTAGAATCAAGGAATTTGAGATGGAAGAAACCCCAGAGGCTAATGTAGTCCAATTATTTAATTTTCTGGAAGTGAAAATAGAGGCTGAGAGAGTTTCAATGAATAGAACCAGTGAGTGTCCTTTGCTATAAACTGAAAGAAACGGCTACTCATTGTAAAAATGATCAAAGCTTAGTGGAGAATACAACAATGTCTTTAATACCTTAAGAGAAGCTTTGACCAGGTACAACTCTATGAGGAATGACTTATACATGAAACTGAGAGATGCCCAAATGACATTCATACTTACTCATTGCCCCAGTCCAGGCGCACGGTGATGTGCCGCTTAACCTCCCGCACCTGATCCTGAGTCAGGTGACCAGACAGGAGCTGCCTTCGAAGGTCAATAAGTTCATTCATCACATGGCGTAGCTTGTAGAAAAGATCTACTTTATGTTTCTGAAAGGACATTTTTGGTGTTGGGTGAAATAAAAAAGGGATATGGAAAGGGAATGAAAAAAAAAGAGAAATAGTTAAACTATGAAAAGTGCTAATTTCTCTGAACCTCTAAAAACAGGCAATGTAAACAGAGGCTTATTTAAGAATCTTAAACCAAAGTCCTTAGTTCCTACTGTCTAAAAATTTCTATAAAGTGACATCTAACAACATAACTGATCTGGCTTATGCAAAGTACCATCTGTCTATCTCTACTCTATCCTGGACTATTAATTTTCCAGTAAGTTACTAAACTTAATCAGAACCAAAAGAAACACAGGAGCCTAGAGTGGTTTTCTCTGACAGAAGTTAGTATGTATGACAAAGATTTCAACCATCCAGCAACATCTCTGGTTTCTCCAGGAAGGATACTCAAGTTGGGGTAGGCAGAGAGAGAATCACTTGCCCTATTTTAAAGAACTGTTTCAACATAAAGCTACAGTCTCTGGAGTGAGATTCATTCCAGGTTTCCAGGCCTCATCTAGCTTTAATTAGCTTTTGAAAACAGTATGTGTCCCTAGTGTCATAGAGTTCTACTCTTTTCAGTTCAGTGAAAAGCGTCACAGCTCGGTGGTTTGTGGCCACCTAGAGGGGTGGGATAGGGAGGGTGGGAGGGAGGGAGACGCAAGAGGGAAGAGATATGGGAACTTATGTATATGTATAACTGATTCACTTTGTTAAAAAGCAGAAACTAACACACCATTGTAAAGCAATTATAATCCAATAAAGATGTTAAAAAAAAACAAAAAAAAGCGTCACCTTTTTAAGAGTTAAATGGAAACAGCTTAATGAACTTAATTATGGACATCACAGTGGTTTTAACAAGTAAAAAATGTAAATGCCACTACAGTAGATGCTTAACAAAAATAAGCATCTTTACTTAAGAATACAGGTTTAAGAACTAAAGTTCTATTTGCTCACAAGTGAAATCTTGATTTTGGAATCTTTCGGTTTCTGTTTTTATTATAGAGAAGCACAATTTTATATGATAATTAAAATTCTTGGAATGTAACTAATCTATAAAGAATGCTTTTAAAGACAGATCAATCTTTACCATAGTGTTAGTAAAATCTCTATCTGGATTTCCCCTAAAAAGACACTTGTCAAAATAAGCTGGATTCAAGTGACTGTAAATAAAATTATAAGTATGAAGTAAATTACAAATCAGTAGAATCAGCTAATGTTTTTAAGTGGCTCTGAGCTTATGATTAAAATGTTTGGAACATCATACTACTTAGAAATCATCTAATGGAGCACTAGAGCATTAGATTTTTAAAGGTCTATCTTAAAGAGAAATTATTATTATTATATTTGGCGGTACGTGGGCCTCTCACTGTTGTGGCCTCTCCCGCTGCGGAGCACAGGCTCCGGACGCGCAGGCTCATTGGCTGTGGCTCACGGGCCCAGCCGCTCCGCGGCATATGGGATCCTCCCGGACCGGGGCACGAACCCGTGTCCTCTGCATCAGCAGGCGGACTCTCAACCACTGTGCCACCAGGGAAGCCCAAGAGAAATTATTTTTAACTAGAGGACATTAGAAATCATGCACTCTAACTACATCAAGCTGTTCTTTCTTCACTCAATGAACATATGAAGAAAACTTAAGCACCTTGATGGTACACAATGCTGGCAGATGGGCAGAACTCAAATTCTTGCCAGCTCAAATGCAACAAAGCCTAAGCAAATTACATCTGCAAAATTGAGATCTTGAGATAAGCAATAAAGGCAATGTGGTGTTTGTTTCCAGCACATGCATTTCTTTATGATAAATCAGGGCCACCTGTCTAAGTTTAAAATAGAAAGTTAGGATTATTATTTTCCCATCAAGCCATACACAACAATCCACTACATACATATACAAGCATTGATTTATTCATTCAATTAACAAATGCTTATGGAGCACCTGCTGAGTGCTATTACTTCGTTGTGATCAAAAGTCCCTACTCTCTTGGGCTTCCCTGGTGGCGCAGTGGTTGAGAGTCCGCCTGCCGATGCAGGGGACATGGGTTTGTGCCCCAGTCCGGGAGGATCCCACATGCCGTGGAGCGGCTAGGCCCATGAGCCATGGCTGCTGAGCCTGCATGTCCAGAGCCTGTGCTCCGCAGCGGGAGAGGCCACAACAGTGAGAGGCCCGCGTACTGCAAAAAAAAAGTCTCTACTCTCATGGTGCTTTCATTCTAGAGAGCAGAGATAGACCATACACAAATACATAATGGTGGTGAAAATTCTAAGAAGAAAAATTAAAGCAGGATAGGGACAGTGGGTGGCCAACAGTGCATTGGCTGGGGAGTAGGAGAGGTTACTGCTTCAGGTAGAATGGTCAGGGAAAGGCTTCCTTGTGAGCCGAACTTTAAGTAGAAACCTGAATGAAATAAAGAGACAGCATTTAGGAAAACTGGGGAAATTTTATAGGCGTGAGAAACAGCAAGAGCAAATGCCTCAATGTGGAAGTGAACTTGGCATATTCACAGAGAGTAAAGAAGTCAGCGCACCTGGAGCAAAGTGAACAAGGGGGAAAGTGGTGATGATGCAGAGAGGCAACACAGACCAGATTAGGCAGGGCCGTTGTAAATTATGTTAAGGTCTTTAGCTTTTACTCCCAGCAAGATGGGAAGCCACTGGAGATTTGGAATAGAAGAGTGATGTGATATGACATAAGTCTTGAAAGCATTACTCTGAGTGCTCTGTTGAAAATAAATCATGAAAAGACAAAGAGGACAGTGGGGGTTCCAGTTAGGAAACTATTTATTGCAACAATCCACATGATGATGGTTGACTGGACAAAGGTAAGAATGGTAAAGGTAAACATTTCAGAGTTTGGACTTTTGACGTTTTGTAGTTAGAGCTGTCAAGATCTGCTGATAGATTAGATGTGAGATATGAATGGAATCAAGGATCATTCTTTTTCCTAGCCTGAGAAGCATGTCTGGAAGAGGGAAACAAGGTTCAATTAGGACATGCTAAGTTTGACACCGAGTTTCAACATTTAGAGGTCAGGAAAGTGAGGAGAATCTAGCAAAGGAAATTGAGAAGTAAGCAGTGAAGTGAGAGGAAAAGCAAGAGAGTACTGAAAACAGGGTTTAAGGAGAACTTTATTAAATGCACTGAGAGGTTAAATAAAATATAGACTGAGAACTGGCCGTTGGATTTGGCACTGTGCTGGCCATCACTGACCACTGATGGAATGGGTGGAGTGAGTTCAAGAGTAATGGGAAAGGAGGGAATGGAGACAGAGCATAGACAACTCTTTTGTAGAACTTTCAGTAACTGGAAGCAGAGAAATGTAGCAAAACAGGGTTGTGCTATGGAGGGAGGGTTTTTTTTTTAATGAAACACAATTTTAGGCTATTTGTATACTGAAGAGAATAATCTAGTAGAAGGGAAAATTTGATGATACAGGTGTTAAATCCTTAAGTAGTCAAGAAGAGATGGGTCCCAGGTTAAAAGGTGCGGGGGGAGGTTTCGCTTAACCAGGATACTCTATTGTCACAGAGAGGAAAGGCAAAGAACTGAGTAATGACACAAGTAGTTGGGAGACTTGGTGATAGAACTAAATTTTTCCTCTGGCTGCTTTATTGCCAAGGAAATAAAAAGCAAAGTCATCAGCTGAGAGTGAGTAGAGTGGAAGGGGTGTTAGAGGTTTGAAAACAGAGGAAAAGATATTAAAAAGTCTCATGGAGAGTGGTAACACAAATCAGGGGAAAGATAGTTCAACTGTTAGATGGTTTTGACATTTGTGAACACTAATTAAAAGTGCAGTTTTGTGTCTTTTTTAAAGCTACATATAATGAAGTATATTGGTACTGAAATATCACATATATATGTATGTGTATACATGTGTGTATGCATATATACATGCACACACATGACATATACTCACATACATACAATATCTATGTAATAACATGCACACACACACACAATAGCAATGCAAGAATATACTAATATACTTTTTTAAGGCATTATATGGTTATTTACTTTTTAAAATCAAGAGTTTCTAACAGATTGTATTTTCCAAACATGACAACAATATCTCCCATCCCAAGTGCTCTTCTGCAAAAATGTGAATCTGACACTCCCCTGGCATGAATTGGAACCTATTTCTTTCTTTCTTTCCTTTTTTTTTGCCCTGCCTTGTAGCTAGGGGGATCTTAATTCCCCAACCAAGGACTGAACCCAAGCCACCAAAGTGAAAGCTTAGAGTCCTAACCACTGGACCACCAGGGACTTCCCTGGAAACTATTTCTTTACAGCCTTAAACCTGGGCAGGCCCTGAGACTGCTCTGAAAAATCAAACATTACAGTAGTGAGCTGAGCTAGTTCTAGGCATAGCCCTTAACTAGTCTGGCAGCTTCTGCTTCCTGTCTCTTAGAATACATGCTCTTGGGAGGTTCCCTCTCAGAATCCAGCTGCCTTGTGGTGAAAAGCCCAAGCTACATGGAGAGGCCACAAGGAGACACTCCATTAAGCAGTCCCAGCTGTGTGAGTGATGCATGTTAGATGCCACACCTAACCGAGCCACACTGTCAGAAGACTACAGCTTCTGCCTATATCTGACTGCAACAGAATGAGAAACCCTATGTGGAACTGCCCGGCTGAGCTCACTCTATCCAGAGAAGAATGAAATATAATAAACAGTGGGTTTTTTTGGGTTTTTTTGCGGTACGCGGGCCTCTCACCGCTGTGGCCTCTCCCGTTGCAGAGCACAGGCTCCGGATGCGCAGGCTCAACGGCCACGGCTCACAGGCCCAGCCTCTCCACGGCATGTGGGATCTTCCCCGACCGGGGCACGAACCCGTGTCCCCTGCATCAGCAGGCGGACTCTCAACCACTGCGCCACCAGGGAAGCCCTAAACAGTTGTTTTAAGCCACAAAGCTTTGGGGTAGTTTGTCATGTAGATAACCAGAACAACTGTACAGTATTTTTTTCCAAAAGAAAATCAGTTATTGTTCCTAATTATATA